ATAATTGTCAATGTGTTGAGGTGCTGACTGAGAGTTTGACATCTTTTAATCATGTAACCATACACACTTCAAAGAAAAAGCGTAAAATAGTGCGTGTTACAAAAAATTTTACCAGGCAATCACTATTATTCTTAGCCCCACGGTGGGCACCAAACCTTTTACCCTAAAAACGGATAACGATTGAATTTATATTGTGATTGTAAGGATACATGATTTACTTAGCACAAATTGAGAGAAAAAGTAAATGGACGACGAAGCAAACCAAATAAAATGTATAGCTTTAATTCTTGAGCTAGACTTTCCTCGAATTAAATGAATGTTGCGCCGGAAAATATGAACAAAGTAACAAGAATATTGAGTGCTTAAGAATAAGAGAGTATATTGCTTTTGTAACGTGAATATGATGCCTTTTACAAATGGTTAGACCCCCTTTATATAATAGGGGAGTCCTACTCTGGGTACAATCCTAAATACAGTAAGAAATCATATGATTGGCTAATTAATCGGCGTCCTCTTGATACGTGCCGGGATTTGCGCCGTGATCCTCGCCGGATTAAGGATATCTCTTCTTTCCGTTATTCAATCCGGCAAGCTACCTTTGATCTCCATCTTATTTGGTCCCAATCTTGGTCGATCCCAATCTTGTGGATCTCTGTTTTGGTCGGTCTCGATCTTAATTGATCTCAAAGTCTCGGGCTTTACAACCTAACTCAGCATCATAGTTTGATATAAATCGGTGTCGATCCTCGGCTAATCATACTCCAGCCTCGATCGGCCGTACAAAAAGGGCAAACCCGATTTTGAACGTATACAAAGTGGTTTATATATTTCTTGTACACGAGAAGCTACATCGTTACATGTATAAAAAAATCAGAAGTCGCTGGTGTATATGGCACCACAGGTTACAAATTCCGAACGAGTTTTTGGCCAATAGTGTCCCTTATCTTTGAGCTTAGGTCTATTTTGGTCCCTCAAATATAACCTTGAGCGTATTTAGTCCCTTAAGTATGCTAAAGTGGAGCACCTTTAGTTTCACTGATAGAATCTATCCAAGATCAATTACGGTGTTGGTTTCGGCACCCATCGTCTTTTTAATTTGGTTATCAAAAATATTTTATAAACCAACACCTGCTAATAGTATAAAGGTGATAAATTTAAGATTTTATTGAAATTTTTACTTTAAATAATTTCGGTTGATTTTTCCAAAAAGAAAAGCTAAAATTTGAAGAAAAAAAATAGAGCCGCCAAGATCACTTCTAGGCATATTATTAAGGCAAACGAATAACCAGATTGTATTAACACTTTTAGCCCGCGCCAGAAACTATTTACATCTAATAGACGAAAAAGTATATAAAATTTGTATAATTATTGTACATTAACATACAAAATGTATATATACAAAATAATATATAAATTATATATATTTTTCGGCTATTATTTTTACAGCGGCTATAAAGTGCCATTTCACATTGAAAACTGGCACAGACGAGGATATTTCCAAGGTCAAAATTTTAGAAGACATAATCTAAATATGAGGAATTAAAGTGATAATTTGCGTTATCTAATAAAAGGAGAGAAAACATTTTGCTTCAGAGCAGAAGATTCGCTTCATGAATTAGAATTGGTTAACACTGTTAGTTTTTAAACACATTCTGTCAGTGAGATTAAAGGTGCTCCACTTTAGCATGCTTAAGAGACTAAATATGCTTAGGGTTATATTTGAGGGACCAAAATAGACCTACCCTTAAAGATAAAAGGATAATATTGTCAAAAACTCGATTCCAAACCACCTATTCAGAGATATCGTCAAAACATATGTATTCTTAAACCAATAAAGAGAAATACCAACGTACACAACCAGAGTGATACATAAAGCTTAATCAAAAATCAAAGTTGAGCTCAAATTCAAAACCACCTTCTTCCGCTACTTCTACTTCTACTTCTTCTTCTTCTTCCTCCTCTTCTCCTTCTTCCTCCTCTTCTCCTTCATAGCCTTCCTCATGCTGCTTCTTAGGATGACCATGTAATAACTTTTTCCCTATTTTCGCAGCAACCTTTTTCATCAAATTCTTCTTATCATGTTCTCCTTTCTTTTCTGCCTTGCTTTCATCATTCTCATGGATTTCTTCTGGCTTGTCTTGAGCTGGATCATCTCCATGTTTGTGGTGTATATGGAGCTTCTCCTCGATCTTGTGCAGGATTCTTGACATTGGTGAGATAAAATATTCTATATATCTGAAATATTAATTCAGTGGTATCTTTTGAGAAAATGAAGAGAGAAATGGAAGTGATGATAGTTGGATAGAACTACGATGTGTAGCATTGGCCTATTAATAAGGTTTAGGCATTGACCGAAGCCCACACAATGACCTTCCTTTGCTTTATTGTCAGTTGACATAGTCTTCTTTGGCTTCTTCATAAACGTGGGTGGCAACTGCTGGGACGGAAAAGGAAATACTTAAATTATGTTCTAAAAGTATATTGCTTTTAAATATTGGCAAGTTGGGATTTATGACTAGGTATCTTACTGGATTTCGTTAAATCTGTTTTTCAAAACGGTGCTACTTTTTACATTGAAAAATAATCCATTCGTTTCAATTTACGTGAACCTATTTTCTTTTTAGTCCGTGTCAAAAAGAATGATCTCTTTTCCTATTTAAAAATAATTTACCTTTATGCAATAATTTATAGCCACACAAAATATATGTGCTTCATTTTACACCACAAGTTCAAAAGTCTTCTTTCTTTTCTTAAACTCCGTGCCCAGTCAAATAGGTTCACATAAATTAAAACGGAGGGAGTACATTAAAGAAGTTTCCACTTCAATAATCCGGTGCTAGTTCTTACATATGAATTTTTTTTCTCTTTTATCTCTTTTTTTTAAAATTTCACTTGTCTGGTCAATACTTTTTTGTAGGATAAACAAAAGTATAGAGATATCCAATTTCATACCAAATTTGAATGATTCACATATATGACCACCCTAATTTTCTAAACAGTATTGTACTCTTTAAAAATTACTAGTAGCGTCTTATGATTGAGTGGCTCTGGAATTTGATTTTGGCTATAATTTGGAAAATTATTTTTTTGAAAAAATTTAAAAACAATAATTTTGGGATAAGATGACTGTTCGAATAATTCTTTAAAGAAAAATATTAAAAAAAAAAAAGAACAGTACTTGCTTTAATTTTCGGGAAATTTTGGATTGGTATTGCCTTTTTGGTTTACGATAAATATTTTTGTTTTATTTTCATATGTTAAAATTATCCTTAGGTCATGTATAGTTGCGGATCTTTACTAATAAATTATTTTTTTCCAATTAAATACTTGACCTTGACCTCCTAGAGTATGAAAGTTATAATATTACCACTATTACAACAGAAGACAGAAATTCAAAAATAGCCATATTTACAAGTGGTTGTTCAAAAATAGCCAAGTTTCAAAAGTAATCGAAATTTAGCCACTTTTCATGTAAAAATAAATCTGAGCAAAAACACTATTCAAAACCCGGAAAATATCCCAGTATATTATGCTGGAGTTCCAGCATAAGTATACTTGAACTCTAGCATATTATATCCAGGATAAGTATGCTGGAACTCCAGCATAATATGATGGAGTTCCAGCATAAGCACACTAGAACTCCAGTATAATATACTGGAGTTCCAGCAAAGTATACCAGTTCAGTATAATATGCTGGAAGTTCATACACATGTGCTCGAATCTCCAGTATATTATGCTGGAACTTTCCTGTGTTGGAGTTCCAGCATAATATGCTACAAGTTCATAAACAGGTGCACCTAACTCCAGTATATTATGTTGGACCGGTCTCTGTTGCAGCAAAAATAGTGACTATTTTTCATTGACTTGATAAACGCTGACTATTTTTGAATGACTAATCCGAAAACTGACTAGACCGTGCTATTTTTACACAATAAAATCACAGAATTGTACCCATTTCAACAACAAATCACATTGATCAATAAAGTATGTTATTTATAATCGGTAAATTTATAACGTAATTGTAGTGACTAAAATCTAGTTACTAAGAAGTAGCTTTGTAACTTCACTAAGTGAGTAAAATTTAAGGATTTTAAAACTTTTACTTTATTCCTTTGTTGACCGTACAGTACTACTCAATCCGGTCCAAATTAAGTGATTTTTTGTATATTTTTACAAAGATTAAGAAATACACCTTTTCGCATTAATTAACAATAGAATTGACCATATTAACCTTTACTATCTCACATAAATACTCCTAATACATATTCGAACACTATTTACTCCAAGGACAATGGAGGAAAAAAATAATTAATTCATTCTTGAAATCTGAAAAAATCACTTATTTTGGACCACAAAAAAAAGGCCAAAAACACTTATTTTGAAGCGGAAGAAATAGCTTCCACTTGTGTGGTCATTAATTTTTTGCTGGTCAACACGTTATAGAGCAAGTAGGGAAAGAGTTGGTTGGCGTTTTAGAAGACTAATAGAGCATTTAGAGATATCTAAACTTTATTTTATCTAATTTCGGTAGTTAGCCTGTGTGACCACTTCAAATGTAAGTTTTTGTGTACATAATTGAAAACTCCTAGTCAGCTTTGTGAAATTTAACTACTCCCTCCGGTTCAAAATGATTGATTTTTTGGATGTTTTCACACAAATTAAGAAATTCACCTTTTAGCATTAATTAATAATAAAATTGACCATATTAACCTTTATTATCTCACATAAACACTCCTAACACATATTCTAACACTATTTACTCCAAGGACAATGTAGGAAAAAAATAATTAATTCATTCTTGAAATCTGAAAAAAATCACTTATTTTGGACCACAAGAAAAAGACCAAAAAATCACTTATTTTGGACCGGAGGGAGTATATAATAAGCAAAGGTTCGTGTGTACGACGAAAGGTTTTATCGTAAATGTAATCCTCTTTAGGGGTAAATTGGTATTCCCTCTTAGTTCATTATCGGAAAACACGTGTACTGTGTGTTTTATGTTTGAAGTTACCAAGGAACTAACCCTTGTTCTTCTCACTATTCATATCTACCAGCAAGCTCTATATTCTTATCTTTCTCCCACTCCTCAATATTTCTTTTTGTATCATCCATTTTCGGTTTCTAATTTTCTAGCCTTTATTTCATTCTGTTACTTCTAAGTTTTCCTCTGTTTTCCTTTCTTGTACTGATTTCTGACCATCATTTCGGAAGTCCTTTGAAAGATTGTCTGTTTTTTCTTCAAATTTAGTTTTAATTTCTAGCTAGATCTTTTACATACATGTCAGTAACTCTATATAATCTGCACATGCATGTTTGAGATTGTACCTGGTGCATATAATTTTGGCTTAATCATCATTGATATATATATGTTCGTCTTGGCCTAATCATCATTGATATATATATGTTCGTCTTTTGGCAGTAATTACTAACTGTAAATCGAAATGTCGATGCAAAATTCTATTGTATTATGCCTTTTGTTGGAAGATCGGGTCTGTGCTACAGTAGCAAAAATTTAATTGGTGATAATATCAGTTTATTTGTAAACGTACTTTCGTTGTGTTCTATATGTGTAAATCTTAATATATTTTATAGTTAGTACAATATTTTCCCTAATTTTTATTTTTTTACTCTTCTTTTACTTTATTCTTTCGGTTATTTTTCAATTTTTACTCAAGACGGTGAGATTTTAAACTCTGAAAACTAACGAACTCAAGGTGTTCGGCGATATGCCTGAAACAACACAAAACTATTTGGTCACAATTTCTTTTGATCTCTTTTATAATATCGAGTAAATTAGGACTAACTTCAACTATGCAAAATTTTATATTCCTGTGAATTGGGGAAATTTTTCATATAAGTTATACAAGTATAGAAATACTTGTAGAAGGCTAAAAAGCAATAGTAGCTCTTTGCATTTACTTGTTATTTCAGTTAGATGTGTCGCTATTTGGTAATTGGCCATGGTAGTAAAATTGAGATGGTCAAAAAGCTATCACTGATGATTCTTTTTTGTCTACCTAATTTTTTATTGGCCAGGTATAGGTGTACAAGTAATAATGTGAAAATAAATTCTATTCAAAAGACTTCTCTATGCAAGTAAAAAGTTGCAGAAAGATAAACTAACTGCGAGTCTGTTGGTTTTTGGGTTCGTGAAACTATCATCGATGGTCTGAGAGTTGCACCTATATTCTATGCAAGAGAGGACTCATGGGATTTTCAAGGAAGTTGGAACAAATGGAACTATATTCTATGCAAGAGAGGACTCATAGGATTTTCCTTGGAACAAATGGAACTTGCATCTATTTGAGAGCTTTCACTATTATTAAATAAGAAACAAGATAGTAATGAAGGTGTTTATCATGCTGCAAATAGCTACACATTTCATTATCAAGAGTCATATCTATTTTACCCGGAAGCAAAGATTTTCTTAACAATTATCTAGAAGCAAAGATTTCTGTCTTCTATATCTTTTTCTTTTTGGTTTTCTAAGAGTTCATTTCTACATCAATCATAACTCACAATTATTTTGTGCAACCTATAATTGCAGAATAGATATATGTGTTTGAGAAGAAGTCAGCCACGATGTCAATTAATAAGCACTATGTAACCTTGATGCTAAACTGCATAGTTCAGCTTCAGAACCTATTCGTCAGCTCTTATCCCGAATCCTGATTATTCTGGGATAAACTTGAAAGATTGCTTATCCTCTCGAATCTGTTCGTTGGTTGATATATGTGCCATCTCTTGTGAGTTCATTGTGTGGAGTTCACTTTAAAGTTACTGGAAAGATTGCTTATCCTCTCGAATCTGTTCGTTGGTTGATAGATGTGCCATCTCTTGTGAGGTCATTGTGTGGAGTTCACTTTAAAGTTACTACATATTCTAGCTTGCTATATAAAAGTCATGCCTTACGTATGCGTTCAAACAATTTAGTGAATGCAATTTTAAGCCATGTTAAATTTTCACACTGTTATAGAAAGTGAACAATTAATTGTTAGCTATATAGTGAAGTAGGGTTGAAGTTATTTTATTTTTGCAGCTAAACCCCACCATTAGGGAAAAAGGAGTGACTTGAAGGTGCTAAAAGAAGCTCTTGACATAAATTGGGTAAGATTTCCATTTCTTTTTCTCCCAGCCAAGTCTCTGCAAAACTCACGCCTCTTCGAGAGACTACATCTCGATTTATTTTACTGATGGCATTCTCTTCTGGATTCAGAAATTACATTGCATTTTGTTTAGTTATTACTTGAATCCATTAACGTTCTGTATTCATACATACTTTAGAAATGATGTCACTACAATTAGATATCTATTAAAATTAGTGTAAACTTTCGCAGTTAAATGTCAATACAAAGAGCTATTTAGATGATAAATATAAACAAACACGAATATATACAGTTTGAGCTGATAATGAACTTTATTCTCAGTTATGTCTCCGCTACCTAATCAAATACACTTTTACATTTCATTGGTTGGCTAGATATTTTTGTAAAATATATAGTAAATGTTCAAGGGGAAAACATAAGAACTTTTGTTGCCATATGCCTGTGGAGTGGAAGTCCGGCCCCCTCTTTTTCTCTAATTTAATAGCATTTATAACTGTTATGTTGCATATGCAAGCCTTAGCAATAAATACTTTTTGATAATCATGTTAGCAGTAAAGCCTTTTTGATAGCTGCTTTAGCAGTAAAGACTTGATAAGAAAATTTAGTAAACTAAAATTATTTTTCAATCACTAATTTGTATCTGTGGAACCAATTTGATATGGAGCAAATTTTGATTTTCGAAAAAAAACATGTTGATTCGAATAGGTTGTGTACTGTGCACTGTGAAACTAAATCTCCATTTCTAATAGTACGTATAACTTTTAGTTCACTCTAATGATGGAATAAAGCTGGGCTAAATTGCGCTGACATGGTTGAAAGTGATAAACTTGCTATAAGTAATAGCCTCCGACATGTGTCGTACAATTTAGATTGACAATGTGCAAATATGTTGCAGCTTTTCATGTGTTAATACGTTTCATTAGTCAAAATACATTCAGATCAAGAAGAAAAGTAATTGAGACCAAATTACTTCTCAACTAAGGCTGGATGGTGTAACCTATTTCACTGAAACTTGTACCAGTAGAAGTTTCCACCAGATCATTCCTTGAGGTTAGTTGGCATTTTGTTGTTGAAAATTTCAGAAGTTATTTGCTATTGTTTTTTGTGTGTCTTTTAAATGGTGTGGATACATGTTGTCAGGAAGACACTGGGGTACTGCGGGTTCGTTGTGGTATTCCAAAGGGGATGCTTACACTTTATGCACTCTCCAACAAGAAGTATGTGTCAATAGATTCACCTATCCAAAAAAATTAGAAACGATGTTCCAGAGTTGATCTATTTCATTTGTGCACAATTTATGAGCATTCCCCTGAAAAAATGTTGAAGAAAGTTGAAATTGTCTATGCCTTAATTGAATAATTACTTGATTGAAACATATTATGTGACACATGAAGCCATTAGCTGTAACTACTTAAATAACCTAAGTATTGATAGAATTTGTGGTCATTATTAGCTTCATATAAAAGAACAAGAACTTATTATCCAAATATTAAACAAGAACTTTAGGTTGGCTTTGTCTAATAGTGACAAAATCTGATAGAACTTTAGGTAAAGTTTGTTTAATAGACAAAGGAAATTTTAGGACTGATGAATGATATTCTAGGATAGGATCTCAACTTCATAGGTAATACCAATTGCGAAAAGAGAAGCGGGACAACTTTCCACTGATGCAAAATGCCCGTTGACCCTCATTCCAGAGAACTGTTCTTCCCATACTCTGTTAGCTTCCAAGCAAAGTTTCAATTGTTCCTTTTCCTGGGGGTGAGGGTGGGGTGGGGGTTCCTGCATTATTTTTTCTTGTTTTCTATACTATTGTCAGTCTCTTCTCCATATTTGTGTAGTATGCACTTACTTTTCAATTTCTGCATCATATTCTTCTACATTTTGTATATTTTCATGCAATTTGCACTCTATGCGTTTTCATTCGTGAATTTTACACTTGCTTATAGGTTTTGCTCTTTTTGGGGTGCATTTACGTACAATTTGCATCTGGAGAGTTCACTCAAAATTGTATATTCAACTTTTAGCAACTCTACCTAGGTTTAACATCTTTTTCCTCTTCTTTTCTCCCAGGGAATCTAAAATCTTGGAATTGGACATGCGGCTGGTTTCGATACTTTCATCAAATATTATTGCAAAAAGAAGACTTATAGTAATGAAGGTCAATTGAGTGATTGACTTTTGCCAGAAGTGCAGTTTCTTTTGTACAGTTGCCCTTGCATATTTCATATCGTGTATTACATAGTTACTGAAATGAATGTACATTATTTGGAACTATTATGTAAATATCTAATCAACATGATCATAAGTTTCCTTTATATGTAAACGGTAATTATGCTAAACAATTGAAATAAGTATGAACCTTTTTGGTACAACAATGCTGAGGTACAATAATATCAGCTTATGCCCGTGCACAGCACGGGCACAGGCCATCTAGTTAAGAAATAATTATTTTTAATTCTTACCTATTAAAGTTTAGTCAGTATTTGAAAGGCTATTAGGATTTAGTCACTTCTTTTATACGAAAATATATTTGGACAAAAATATTCATATGTAAGGCACAAAACAACTCCAACAATCGATATTGAATTTTACAAACTGATATCTTTCCACTATATACTTCTTTCTCTCTCGACTGAACTGATGCTGGAGCCTGGAAGTCAATATATGTAGATGTCAACGCCTTTTGCCAGTAGGGTAGAAGTTGAAAAGGCTTGGTATCAACTGAACCTCTAATCGATCCTAAGTTTCTTCATTGGTACGTGCATGCTTCAAACCTTTTGACACATATTTTTGATACATAGGCTTCATTCGTTAGTACTTAATGGAGGTCTGAATCTTAATTATTCAGTTTTCGAATATTAAGTGTATATGTTTGTTTTTAAAGTCTGAATCTTGATCATTCAGATCTTAATCATTAAGTTTGTTTGTTTTTTTACTTTACAACCACTTAATGGGGGTTAATAGGTCTGTATGATTAAGATTTATAACAAAGACTTAATTTTTTTAAGATGATATCATCATCAACAACAACAACAACAAAAAATCCAGTATAATTCCACAAGTGTGGTCTAGGGAGGGTAGTGTGTATGCAAACCTTACCCCGACCAAGAGAGGTAGAGATGCTATTTCCTATAGACCCTCAGCTCAAAAAAAGGTGGAAAGGAAGAAAAGGGAAGAAGAAGAAGCACTACTAGAAATCCGGGCAAAACCGTCAAAAAAGACCGACCAAAGTTGGTCGGTAATGGCCAATAACCGTCCAAAACGCGACCATTTACGTGTGGACGGTATTTTGAAGGTCGGAAGGGCATACCGACCAAAGTTGGTTGGAAATTACCGACCAACTTTGGTCGGTCTATTAAATTCAAATAAAAAATTATTGCTGAAAAAACCGACCAAAGTTGGTTGGTTTTTTCCGACCAAAGTTGGTCGGAATTTTAATTATGTAATTAAAAAATGCATCATCTGGGAATCGAACCGGAGTCTGTACTATGTCGTGATACTATTCTACCACTAGACTATTGGTACATTTTGTTTTAAGATTGTCTTTTATTTTATTTTTACTCTTTAATTGTATTTTCGCACGAAAATAACCGAACAAAGTTGGTCGGTTTTTTAATATTTATTTTAAATTAAAAACCGACCAAAGTTGGTCGTTTCTTGATAAATATATTTGCGGGAGTCAAAATAATTTCTGCATTTTTGCGCCAAAAAAAAATCGACCAAAGTTTGTCGTTTTGTAAAACGAAAAATTAAAAAATAAAGTATTTTGAAAACCGACCAACTTTGATGGGTTTTTTGACCGACCAAAGTTGGTCGACCGACCTTGGTCGGTTTTTGCCGAATTTCTAGTAGTGAAGAAAGAGGGGGAAGAAAGAAAGAAGAGGGAGAAGTAACAAGCAGGGAGCAACAATTTCGACTAAAAGGGGAAAAAAAGTAGCATCAAATAATAACAGTCAGGGAGCAACAATTTCCGGTGAAAGGGGAGAAAAAGTAGCATAAAATAATAATAGTCAGGGAGCAACAATTTCCAGTAGCAGTTTTAAAAAAAAACAATAAGATGCTATCATCCACATTCATTATTAATTGCTACCACCGCCTACCATTATCAACTATTACCACGCCACCCACCGCCGCCGCCGCAACCATCACCACCTTCTCCTTAATCATAGCTGCTACCATTATTGACAATCACCACCATAATTTCACTACTCACACCCCTATCCTTCTCAATCAGAACCACAACCTCATCTACTCCAACTACCACAACAAACTACCCCATCACCAACAACAACCATAGCCAGCACTACCCACCATTATAAACTACCACCACCTTCCTCCATCACAATCACCACCACCACCACCCACCATTATTAATTATTATCACATACGACCACCATTCTCAACCATAATCGTTATCACTATCAATACCACTAGCTACTACTCAGAACCACCATCATCAACGAAAACCGCCACCAACCATTGCCTCTAGTCGGCATTCACAAGCACAACTGTTAGTCATCACTATCACTAACTATCATATTTTGATATATATTATTCGTATTTTATTTGAATGTTATGTTTATTAAATTCTCAAATAAAGATAAAATTTATATATTCAGATTTTAAAAAATAAATAGTCTTAATCATTTAGTATTCAGATCTTTATACACATCTTAATATTCAGACATATATGCAGATTCAAATATCTTAGTCTTAATGCAAATTTTGATATTTAGATGTGTATTCAAATTCAAACGTCTTAACCTTAAAAAAAAAACTAAGGAGGGCGAGCTCCACCACACATCATACGTTGATACACGTTAAAGAGTCGAGCAGTAGAAGAAGAAAAGAAGCAGAAGAAGAAGAAGCTGCATTGTTCCGAGCTGGCAGCTGAGTTGGCATTGTTAGTTAGCTGATGTGGCAAGTTAGTTACAAGTTAGTTGCGACAGTTACAATTAGTTAGAAGTTAGCTTAACAGATTGTATTCTAGATTCTTCTAAATGAGCTTATATAGCTGCATCAAATGTAATGGAGATACACTTTTGGAAGTTAATACAATCTACTCTCTCAATTCTCTCTTCTCTTGAGCTATTTTCTCGCAATTGCCTGACATAACCATCACCTTCTTCGAGCTTAAGCTCCTAGAATTACTATTTTCCTCTGTTTTTCTGTTTCATTGAATCATTTGGTATCAGAGCTTCACGTCCTTGGCATCTTTAGTCATGACGCGCAGCAAAAATTTAGAGAAATCTGTTGAAGAATTAGAAGATAAACTGACAGCCATTAACGATCAATTGCAGAAGTTGATGGATGGGATGATGATTATAAACAAGCGTAATGTACAAACTGACTAGGAATTACTAGAACTGAAGGAATACATGGGAGTTATGAATCAGATTAGGAAGGAAAATGAACAAGTTAGAGCAGAATCTTCTAATGATCGAGCTGGTTCAACGGAGATGCAACATGAAGGAAGGATCAAAGATGGTCACCATAGTGTAACTGCTAATGGTAATTTTTTCACTCGATACTCTAAACTTGAATTTCCTCGATTTTCTTGTTGCGATTTGAGGAATTGGTTGTATAAAGTAGATCAGTTTTTCTCTATGGATGAAGTAGCTTTTGACCAAAGGGTTAAGGTAGCTTCTATTCATTTTGATGGAGAAGCTATTGCTTGGCATAGGTCATATATGAAGTCTAGGAACTCAGTGTTAGAACCTACTTGGACTGAGTATGTATTGGCCTTAAATGAACGGTTTGAAGAGGGATTTGAAGATCATATAGAAGCTTTAAAAAATCTGCAACAAGTTGGTAGTGTTAAGGATTATCAAGCATAATTTGATAGGTTGTTGACTGGGGTTAACTTGTCTAATGAAAATGCAATTAGTTGTTTTTTAGGAGGCCTTAAACCAGAACTGAACAAAGTTGTGAGAATTCAATAACCTAGGACACTGCTACAAGCTTACAGAATTGCAAGATTACAGGAGGGGGTGTTTGAGGCTCAAGCTCAATCGTGGGGAATCAAGCCTGTCATTAGAACCAACACTGGCATATTACCTACTCCTAATCTCAATAAACTCCAGTATAACCAAAAGAACCTATTACCAACTCCACTAACAAAAAGCCTTTTGAACCTAACCTTACTAACAACACTAGACTTCCTGGTAGGAGATTGAGCACAACTGAAATGGATGAGAGGAGATCGAAGGGATTATGTTTCTTCTATGATGATAAGTATGTACCAGGTCACAAGTGTAAGAGTAACAAACAAATATACTTAGTAGAGGTGACAAAAGATGAAGGAGTGGAAACAGATGAAGCAGAAGATGGTATGCAAGAATTACTGGGGGATTCAAATGAGTTTATGGCCATTTCCTTACAAGCATTTACAAGTGCAGCAGGTTATTAAACTATTAGAGTTACGGGATACCATGAGAAGAAGCCTCTACAAGTGTTGATAGATATTGGGAGTACTCATAGTTTTATTGATGAGGAAGTAGCTGCAAGATTAGGCTGCAAAGTTTGCTCTATTTAGAATCAATCTGTCAGTGTAGCAGATGGAAGAAAGGTGCAGACTGCTTCAGTTTGTAAGGATTTGCAGTGGTTATTACAAGGTACCACTTTTTCCTCTGACTTCTTACTACTACCATTGGGAAATATATATATTGTTTTGGGTGTACAATGGTTGAATACCTTGGGAAGGATACTGTTTGACTTTAAAAAGAGGACTATTGAATTCATGTATCAAGGAAAGAAGCATGTTCTTAGGGGTGCAAATGATCAGCTTAAGGCTGCTAAAGCTAAAAGTTTGATAAAGAAAGAGGGAGCAGATGCACAATTTTTCATGATGTCATTAGTGGCCAGTAGAGGTGAGGACACCTATTGCCACAATATACAAGCTACACCAAGAGCTGATCCCTTACTAGATTTAACAGCTCTTATTAAACAATATGCCTGTATTTTTGAATTACCTACTACCTTACCACCTCACAGGGGGCCTTATGATCACAGAATACCTCTTAAGGAAGCTTCTAATCTGTTAACAAGAGACCTTACAGATATCTTGGAATCAAGAAGGATATAATTGAGAAATTGGTACAGGAAATGCTAGACCAAGGGTATAGTACCAGTCCATATGCATCTCCTGTAGTGCTAGTTGGAAAGAAGGATGGTAGTTGGAGGATGTGTGTGGATTACAGGAGTTTGAATCAAATGACTATTAAAGATAAGTTCCCTATTGCCATGATTGAGGATTTGCTTGATGAATTAAGTGGAGCTAAGATTTTTTCCAAAATAGATCTTAGAGCTGGTTATCATCAATTGAGAATGGCTGAAGGAGACATCAACAAAACTGCATTCAGAACTCATGAGG